GCGGCCGCGCGCAGGCGCGGGCGCGGTGCATGTGGGACATTTCGGCCCGGCAGCTGGGTGAGGGAGCGGGCCGGGACGGACGGGAACGGTTTGGAGCGGAACGGGCCCGGGGCTATGGGGGTCCGGCCAGGAAACGGGAGGTCTGCGCCGGCCCTCACCCCCGTTGTTGTCCCCGCAGCAACGCGGAGCGCGGCGCGCGATGGCCTCCAGCACGGCACCACGGATCCAGTCTCACCAACGTTCTCTCCAGCCCAGCTTCGGAGCAATGCAGACCCTCTTCGCTTCCTGGCAAATCGGAGCTGCGCCTCTTCCCCCGAGTGAGTGCGGCCCGGCCCCGCCGCCCCCCTCCCCCCGCGCCCCTCCCCGCGCGCCCAGCGCGCTCCGCCCGCCTTGCACCCGCCCAGCCCGCACCGGGCCTCCCCCGCTCCCGGCGGATCTGAGCGATCCCGGCCCGAGGTCGCCCGGGGATCCGGGGATCCCTTCTCGGGCCGTCGCCGCTCCGAGGGATCCGGCGGATTCCAGCCCGCTCCCCCACGGCCCCCGGCGGATCCCGCCTGGCCGCCCCACGGCCCCCGGGGGTCGCCGGCCGCGGGCCCCCCCTTGCGGAAGCGCTTGGGGAATCTGTGCTCCCCCCCCGGGGGTCCCCGGTGTTCTCAGGCGGAGCCGCCGCGCACCCCAAAGGGTTTGAGTTCTCAGCAGGAATTGCGGGGAGACGGCGGTAATTTAGGGCGTGTGGTTACACGTGGGATCCTCCCAGGAAATGCCCGTTTGGCCCGGGGTTGTGCCCAGAGAGCCTCTGCTGTCTAGATCATCTCCAGAACTGTGGCAGTTTGTGGATTATGGCCGTAAAACTCAAATTTATATACATATATATGCATTCCTTGCAGAGAATTCTGTGCAAAATGGTCAGGTAACCACTAATATACAAATAATACGTATTTATCATGTGTATATAATCTGAATATTAAGTTTCAGGTACCTCAGTAATGTAGAAGTATCCACAAACAAAAAAAAAATCTAAGTTAGTTTTTATGTCTTCACTTGCAATTTAATTCTGATGACACTAAGGCTTTCAGGATCCTTTCTGATGCAATATAGAGCTTCAGTGTTAACATTGGTGATGGTTGTGTCTGTTTGATTGATTTATAGATCTGATGTCATTATCTGTTGCTGTTTTGCATATTCATTATGTAAGTTAATGGGTTCGGTTTTGCCATGATGAAAAAGGATTGGAGAATAATCAAACAAGAACTCAGTCAATTATTTGTAATGCCCAAAGGTAACTTGGATTTTTTATTTTAGAGGAAAAAAGCTATCACATTATATTCTTTTTTTTGTCTCACTGAGTCTTCAGTCCCTGCTAGGACAAACCAAGGGAAACCCAGCCATCCTGACAGCTGGATGTGCACTGGTATTCTTGCAGTGTCTTTGGGTGGGATTTTGGCAGTTTCGGGTTGGAATTGGAATGTAGCTGTACCCAAAATCCAGGGACAGTTCCAGCCATGAGTTTTCTCATTCCTAGCTGGGATAACTGTAGTGGGATGGGAGAGAACTCACCTGTAAAAGGTGCAGTTGTTTCATGTCTGCTCTGGGTTTTAACACTTGGTCTCATTTTTCAGGAAGGTTGTTAGAGGTGAATGGTAAAACTTTGTAGCTTTAGATACTCATTAACTAATCTGTTAAGAGATTCCTTGTATGGTTTGGTGTCCTTCCCTCTGTGTACCAAGGGCTCTGGCACCTCTGGACCCCCTGGGGTGCTCAGGGATCTGCTCTTAAGGTGCTTCAGAGACCCCAATTCCATTTCACCCATTTTCTAATAGTGACAGGTTCTTTTGCTGTTCCTTTTTCTGTCCCTTCTCCTTTAAATTCCAGGTCCTGACTTTTCCCTGCCCATGGTGTTCATCCAGTTTAGGGGGGGTACAGGATACAAGTTATTGTCTGTGAGTTCTCTCCATCATCTGAATTCCTTTGTGTCCTGGATCCTGCTGGGATTCTTTCTTGCCTGTAGCATTTCTGAGTAACAATCCCACTTCCCTTGCTCCACCTCCTTGTTTGATCTGTGTCACTCTGACTCTGCTGTCTTCTCTAGAACTTCCTTTTTCTCCTGGGCTGCCAGATCAGAGATAACTTCCCAAGCTTCTCTACATTTCTCTTTCTCTCTCCTGTCCATCCCCTTATTCCAGTTTATTAATCACCTATTTCACATTTATCTTTAATCCACAACCAACTTTGTGACTTCTTCCATTCTCCCTCCCCAAACTCTACTTCCCTCTTCCTCCTGCTTTCCCCCAGCTCCATGGTCTGGTTCTCTTCTTTATTGTATTCCATAAAGCTTCATCCAAACTGGAAAGTGGAGGGAATGGATTCCTGAGTCTCCTGTACTCCAGGCCCATTGTTCAACCCCAGAAAATCCTCATGCATCCAGGCTGAGAGACGATTACTGAGTGTATCAATCTCTGCTGAATTACAATGATGATGGATGGTGGCTTTTTTTGGAACTGTTGAGAACATTCAGTTCTTGATGGATTTCATTCAGCTTGGATTTTAGAGTGACTGGAAATGCCATTTTTAAAAGTGCAGCACACAGATGCATATGAGATGTCAGGCTGCAGAGGCATTGCCGAACACTGTCAGTTGTTTGTTATATTCATTTTAGGAAAAACTCAGCTATCCCAAAGCATTCCTTGTGGTGCTCCTGGCTGTAAACAAGATCTGCTAAAGACTCAATAGAGTCTACTCTGTGTCCTTGATAACATTCCCTTGTTATCACAGACATTTTAAGAATGCCTGAAAATGTTGTACTACTTTTATGTAATGAATTGTGTAATTTTTTTACAACTTAGATGAGTAAATCCTACAACTTTGCCATCACTCCTTGATTTACTTTTCTTTGCAATTTTACTACTGAGATTTTGTTAAACACCTGCTTCTTTGGTTTTACATTTTTATTAATTATTTGGGGGGGTTATTATTAATTATGTTTACTTTTATTTCTTAGTTATTTATCTGTTCTTATTAATAATAATTATTAATAATTATTTTATTACTTCTTATTATGGATTAAAAAGGCACTATTTCAGCTGTGGATTCCTGCATCCAAAAGGGCTCAGAGTTTCAATATTTCTATCTCTGGGCCGTTTATCACTACAGTTCCTTCCCAATTTATTCAATCTGCAAGCTGTTGGAGCAAGTGGCTGTTACTAATTTTAATGCTTTAAAAGCTGCAGTGTGCTGGCTCCAATGTAGTTTCTCAGCTGAGGTTAAATTTAAAGTTATTAAAGTGTGATCTGAGGGACGTTGTGGGCAGTAGTTGAGTTGTGCACATTGGGCTGAGGTGGTGGTGAAGGTGAGAGAGGGTTTGGCATTTGCAGAGACCAAAATAGACCCTGGATTTCTGTCTGGGTGTGCCAGAGTCGTTCCCCTGAATTTTGACAACTCCAGGTGCTGAAAGGCTTGATCAGCCTCCAGCAACCCAAATAAAGCTGTGCTGGCGGGGGGATGCACTGGAAGAGCTTGTCTTTGAATTGTCTGGGAATCCGGTAAGGAAAGGAAGATCCTTGTCAGCAATCAGTGAATGTTTTCTGAGCTCTTCAGGCTGATCTGTGCCCCTGATACTTGAGGGCAGAAAAAACAGCAACTGTGCCCTGGCCTGGGGTAGGAACAAGGGCTTCAGGACTAGCTGCTGCTTCCTGTGCCTTCTGGAGGCAGCTTTTAACTCATCTGATGCACAGCTCTGTCTGCAGAATAATTTTACTTGCTGTCCTTTACTTTATACATCCAATTAAAGCAAAATCTGCACCACTTTCAGGACATAGGGACTATTTTAATCCATTCTGGACCTTTACTGAGTTGACTCTGCATCTAGTTTTTGGGAGTTTAGTTATGGTTTTCATTTAGGGAAGGCACAGTTGTAGTTGTACAATTCTTTCCGGTTGTTGTAGGAAGTAGATATTTCTGCGGGGGTTTTTTTGTTTGGTTTTTTTTTTCAAATGACTCAATGTCTTCATTGTCTTTTGGATTTTCAGTGTCTGGGATTTTTTTTAGATAGGCTGGTTCTGAGCTGAGGAGTAGGTACAGACCTCCCTTGTAGGGAGGGAGGTCTGTGTTGAGGAGCTTTTCACTCAGTAGAGTGAACTGTAGCATTGCCTGGCTGAGTTTCTTGAACTTGTGTTTTGTTCTTCACTACTGAAGGACAGGCACAAGCTCAGCACTGTGCACCCCTCAGGATGAACATGGCACTGCTGTGCGTGGGAGAGGCTGAATGGTGAAGTTTGGTCTAGAAGCTTGTATGAAATTGGGTTGATGAATAAAACAGAATGGTGGCCCATCCAGTTCACCCCCTGCCATGGGCAGGGACACCTTCCACTATCCCAGGTTGCTCCAAGTCCTGTCCAACCTGGCCTTGGACGCTTCCAGGGATGGGGCAGACACAGCTTCTCTGGGCAACCTGTGCCAGGGCCCCACCACCCTCACAGGGAAGAATTCCTTCCCAGTATCCCATCTGACCCCGCTCTCTGGCAGCTTAAAGCCATCACCCCACATCCTGTCCCCACACTGCCCTTGTCACAAGTCACAGTGATCTTTTAATCATCACCAATTTGGGGCCTGGATCAGGGAGTGTAAAACCCCTGGGTTTAACTGATACATAGTCGGTAACTTTTTATCTTTCTCAGCAGCATTTTCCTTTGCCTCTTTCCCTTCTCCCAGACAAAAATTAAGTTGCATTTAGGTGCCTGCTCATGGATATATTGAGCTTGACAACTACTGCCCAGTTCAAGTGAGGCAATAAAGGTTATTTATGCAATTTTGGCTGGGTGTGGTGTAACCCCTGGTAACTGGTTCCCTGTCTCTCTCCCACAGTGACTCCCCCTTGCCGGTGTCGTCGCGCGTGTGCTTTGTGAAGTTCCACGACCCCGACTCGGCGGTGGTGGCGCAGCACCTGACAAACACCGTGTTCGTGGACAGAGCCCTCATAGTGGTGCCCTATGCAGAAGGTTTGTGACTTGTTTAATGGCCCACGGAGCCACCTTTGGTGGGGTTTCATTCCTGTCTAGTGCAAAAAACCCAGCGTTAGTCCAATGTCAAACACTCAAATATCTCCATCCTGAAACCCTTGGTATGTTGCCTTTGGCCCCTGGGCTCAATGATTTCATTCACCTCATGAAAGTGGGAAGTTTTGTGTGTCTTAAAGTTTAGAATAATAACATTTTAGGCAGAATTGTTTGCAAATTTTGCTCTGTATCTGTCTCAATGAGACATTTCCCAAACAGACTTAAATGCAAACAGGTCAATATTTTAAGCAACTTTTGCCTTAATAATTAAGCATTTACTACTTTCACTCTCTTCATGAGAACGGTTTGTCCCTCCCTGGAGTGCATGGGAGAGGAACTAGCATTCCTCTGGGATATGCTGTCACTGCATTTATTTGGGAACATCCCAAAAAGGCCCTCACTCTCCTTGTGGAGTCCAATATACCAAGGGTTTGAATAATTATGGTTTAATTCAAAAGTGATATCTTCCAAGAGGTGCCACATGGGCACTGGTCCTAGTTTTTTATTCCAAGTTTTCTTGTTCATCCTTGATATATTTAATAGAATTTTGCTAAATAATAAACTCTTCTCTCTGTTATTTGTGTGTGTGATTTTTGTAGTGGAGAAGGCAAATGCAAAGCCCTTCCAGATGACTGAAAAACAGTGGGTCCTCTGCAGCTACAGGGGATTCTAGCCATTAACTAAAGGCCAGCAAGCACTCAAGTCCCCAAGTGTTTTCCTGGTGTAACCACTTGTTAACTACATTTTCTCTTCTTCTTTTTATTTTTACATTTTAGGGTGTTACAGTAATTTGAAAGGCAATGAGCAGGGTTTTTGGAACTTACCTTAAAAGCAAAGTGCTGAGAAGACACCTCTTCTTACAGAAGTCTTATTAAACTCTTCTAGACTTGCTTTAGAAGTAACTGATTTCCATTGTACTTGTACTTTTCTTGATTTACTTCTGGGAAAGCTTGAATTTAATAAAATCTTGCAGATTAAGTTTGGTACATGACCTGGGGTCAGACCTGTAATCAAGACACTGTAATGCTGTAGCTGTCTCTTAAAGCCTGGGGAGCTGTCTTATCTTATCTTTGTGTTCCTGAATCTTAAAAGATATGAAATTTAAACTTAACAGATGAAACTTAATCCCTGGAGTGTAGGAATGTGCAGCGTGGCCTTTGAGCTGTGCTGCTTTCTGAGGGTACAGAACCCCCCCTCTGCAATGGAGTTACTGCTCCTGCTGCCACTAGTTGAGGTGTAATAGCAGAGCTGAAAGGCGTCTTGTCCTTGTCTGTGTGTTAAATACAGCACCAGTCCAGCTGAGTTAGTGCTGGAATATTCTCCAAGGCCCATGTGAATAATGTCAGTGTTTAACTCTTCCTACAAGGATAAAGCCACTTTTCTCTTGGTCAGTCTCACTTTGTCCACTGTGGATAAATCTGGCACACAGAGAAACCTACCCAGTAGTTTTGCTTGAGATTGTGTAAAGAAAATCAAATTATTAAAGCAGAATATTGTAATGGGCCTGTTAAATCAAGGAGTTCCTCGTGGGCTGTACCTTGTGGTGTTTGAGCAGTTCGGAATTTGATGGTTTTGGCATATCACAAGAGATATGTTCAGCCAATAAAGTATTGCCCCTGGTTTGGTAATCCCATGGTTCTGTCCCTGAGCTGGAGAACAGTTTTCCCTTAAAATTCAGACTGCCAGGGTCCCAGTTGAACAAACTGAGCACCAAACAGCAAGTTTAAAACCCCAGTGACACTGCTCATGTGCTTAAAGCCAGGCATGTGCTGAACTACTGTGAACGGGGCCCTCCTCTCTCAGATTTTTACTGTGCTGATTAATCTGTGTCAATATTGCCTGTCACTAAAGCAACTGTTTATTATCTGTTCAGTGAAATAATTCCCCCCCTGTCCCAAGTTTTAGCTCACACAGACACTTTGGTGGTGGCTGTTGCTTTGTGTTATAGAACTATACACAAAGGCTACGGTAAGGTTTAGTATTTGTCATTTTCTCTGGGCTATTCCTGGATTTGGAAGGAACTCTTAAGGTTAAAGATGGCTGGGGGGGGTGTTTAGGTTCTTTGGTTAATGTTTGTTTCTTTTGTCTGTTTCTTTTTCTTTCATTTCTACACATTCATGCAGTATTTCATGGTTCTAACAAAGCAGCAGTAAAAAAAGCTCTTGAAGCATGAAAATTAACTGGTGAGGGGCCTCATTGCTTTTTTTCAATTGTAGTTTATTTAAATACTTTTTAAAGAAACGATTAGAGGATCAGATGCATGATTTTTTTTTAATGGATGCAGATCTTCTATGAGGTGTCTCGAGCTAAGTCTGAGGATTTGTATTTAGATGCCAGAAATGTTGTAGTTGCACTAATTTGAAATGTTTAGCTATAATTGATAAATATCCTCTGAGACATAATTTTGCATGCAAAATGACCCCATAATCTCTCTGTAGGTATGTTTATATATTTATGCATTACTGCCCTTTGCCTCCATGACCTTTTTCCCCCTGTCCCTCCATAACTTTGGGTATCTAAATTGCTGCCAGCTCAGTGCCACGGGCCAGATAACAGTGCTGTGTATTGTACGTTTATGTAGATTATCGGCACTTCTCAGTATAGGTGGGAGGAACCATTACCTTTATTTAACAGTGGTTTTTCTTTTTTGTTGTTGTGTTTTACAGTTCTTTTCCCTGGTTCAGCCTGAACTATATACCAGGCCCTGCTGAAAATACCACCCAACAGTTTTCTTCTGCAGCTTATCCAGTTTCTCTTAAGTGCCCTGTACATATTGTATGTTTTATGATGAGATGCAGTTTCTTAATGTGTATTACAGAAACACTACTGGTATTTGCAAATATATAGTAAAATTGTTTTATTGAACTCTCATTTTGGGGGCTTGGGCACATTAACAAATTAATCCATCTGTATAGGGCTTTTGCTGTTGGATAGAGTAAAAATACCTACACAATTGTTTCCTGGTAGGGCCCTTAAAATTCCCTGTGCAGAGCAGGCAGAGAAATAAGACATTTGTCTTAGTTGGCTGCAAGATTTTGGGCCAGAAGTCCCCCCTGCCATGGCAGTTTGTAGCAGCATTCTTGGTACACTAAGCGTGGTACATAATGGAACAAATGCATTTTACTGCACAGGTAAGGAATGTGCCACCATTCCCTGTATCCACCAGCCACCCCCAGACACACACACAGCCTTCCTGGAGACCTGCAGGGACTTGCATTTCCATATGACACGTCAGCAAAAGCCCTACGCTTGATTCAACCCCAAATATCCATCCTTTCTCTTTAAGTTTGACAAAATTTGTATGGTAGGTGTAAAAGAAAACAATAGTGAACTGTACCATATTATTAACCCCTAAATCAAACTTTTTTTGTCTTGTGTATCTTGATTTTTCTGTGTGCTTTGTAGTGAAGCAGCCGACACGAGTCGTTGTTCATAAAACAGCTTTTGAAAGTTGAGAGCACACCCCTGGAGAACCGACTGTGCTTGCTTACGTTTGGTTCATGACTTAAAAATCGAGTACAGGTGATGAAACCTTGGCAGTGTTAACAAAAAAGTAGTGTGTATTGTGCTATTTTTTTGCTCTAGAAACTTAACCTTTTGTAGAGAAAAAGGAACAGTCAAATTTTCACCCATTGAAGTTGCATTCTGACAAAAAAGTTAATGCTAAATATTAATAGCCATCAAGCTTTGTATTTTAGCCAACATAAGTACTTTCAACAAACTCAGGTGGTGTATCAGGGAGACTTTGCTGGGTGTATTTGTGTATTTTCTGCCTCTGGGATGGGATGCACTCTAATGCCAGGCTGTTTCTCTGCAGGAGTCATTCCTGATGAGACTAAGGCTTTGTCTCTCTTGGCACCAGCTAATGCAGTGGCTGGGCTGCTGCCCGGAGGTGGACTGCTGCCCACTCCCAACCCACTCTCTCAGGTAAGATCTCACCTGGGCTGGGCCAGGGGAGACCATTGAGTGTGTTCTGCTGGGTTCTCACTTCATTCCTGCTCTTTTTTTCAGGCCTGATGTGCTAATGCCAATTCCTAGAATAGTTCCAAAGCCTGATGGTTGTTACAGCTCTGATACGAATTGGGGCAAAACAGTGATTAGTTGCTATGAATGGGATCTTCTTATTTCCCTGAAATGATGCTTCTGGTGTCTCAGGGCCCTGTTTGTTTCTGTCTCCCATCCCTTTTTATCCATTGTACTTGCAGATTTGCCAGCAGTAGAGATCTCATAGGTTTTAAATTCATGGAGTCCAAGGAGCTGCCATGCTGGGAGATTCCTTTCATTAATACTCCAGCTGAGGGGAAAATTGGAGCCTCGTTATCTGAACCCACAAGAATTCGTGTGGAAGATGAACAGTGAGAGTAACACATTGTGGGAACACACGTCTCTTACCAGGGAACAGAGAATCAAAGTCAAGAGGCAAATTAATAATAATAAAGCTTCATTAATTCTGCAGTTCTCAAACCTACTTCAGCTTAGCTGAAGGATCCCCTTGCCATGGAGCTGCTCAGAAGCTTTTAACCCAATGTGGAGGGAAAATCCTGAATTTAAACTTGGAAACGAGGAAAGGGCTGGAAGAACCAAATACAGCCAGAAAGATTCCGTTCACTGAGAACCGTGTATATGAATTCCTGAAAGTGGTGGTTAAGCCACGTTAATTTTAGCTCTGTCACTCTGAATCCCAACCTGGTCCCAGTGCACTTAATGGTGGAATGTATTTAACACATCCATGTGATGGGAATTCAGTGAAGTCAGTTTTTTCAAACACATCTTGAAAGTGTGTTTGGTTTCAGTGTCTGTTGATCATCTCAGTCAATTTAAATGGCCAAACATGAGCTGCTTTAATGAGGCTTCTGGAGGAATTTAAGGAATTCAGACCTATGTCATTATCCTCCTTGCTCTTCCAGTAGCTTTTCAGCCCATTTGCCAGTTTTAACCAGATCTGAGAAATCTGCAAAGATGTAATACTGTTACATTGCCTTTTAACATAAAACATTCATTTCAATCCTAAATTGAATTAGAAATGAGGTGGTTGCCTCAGAAACTTATAAGGAATTTTCATTTTAGCACTGGAAAATCATTTCATTTTAAACTATTCCTTGAATTTGGTGGAATGCTTTACTTTACTTTTTTGCCTTTCCCCCCCCCCCCACCTGTCAGGATGCAGAGGAAGCAAAATTCCATCCACTTTCTTATATAGTAAGCTTTGGAATCCCTGAATAAGGAATCCTGAAACACTCTCTCTGACCTTTGTATAATGTTTCCTGTAGCTGGAAGCTGAAGTAAAGCCCAGCTCAGGTTTCTACATGTCTCATGTGTGGGAATGTTGATTTTCTCCTTGCTAACCCAGGTTTTTATTAATGACTGTGCTCTAATTGCTGTCTCTGTCCCAGATTGGTGCTGTCCCTTTAGCTGCTTTAGGAGCTCCTGCTCTTGATCCTGCCCTTGCTGCTCTCGGGCTTCCTGGAGCAAACCTAAACTCTCAGGTATGGCCCAAAATACCCTTCATTGTCCCCCCTCTTTTCTATTTTAAAAGTAATTTTCATTTATATAGTGACTGGAAACTCCAGTCATTGGTTTCTGTGAGAACCTTTTTGGAATAAAGAGTATCTGCTTGAATACGAAATTAAATGCTGGAAAGGCCTGAGAAATAATTTGGGAATAGTAATGAGATATTTTAAATGTGTCATAATCAGGCCATGAGCCTGTCTTGTACTTAGAGTAAAAAAAATAGTTTGACTTTTTAATCTTTTAGGTGTAGAAAACAGATAGGAGACTTTGTTAGGCTGTTAAAGCTGGATAAAAAGACTTTATATACTAAGTAATAATAGAATATTGAATATATTTATATAAATATATAAAACTATATTAACATAGTGAGCATATACATATATTTACAAATAGAATTTTTAAGATATAAGAACCAAATACTGTACAGTAGCAATAATTAAATGCACTGCTGACAAACCCAGCATTTAGCACTCTTTTTATGCATTCCATGTGGAGGAAAAGCAAATCATGGTGAAAATGAAATTACAAATGGAAAAAATAAATATTTTAAATGCATATTAGAAAAATCTAAAGTTGGTGTGATGGAGAATTGTCTCCTGTGCATTAAACCAGCTGAATGTAACAAACTGTTACATATATGTAAAAGAAAATGAGTGAGGACTAAACATTTTGTTAATACCTCACTGGTACAGGAAGTGACTAATCCTAATAACACCTGGATTTTCCTAAGAGCTGTAGAATACATGTTTTCATGGAATTTTTAGATGTTTACTGTTCATAAATTGGCATTGAGGCCTTTAGCGGACAGGAAGCTTTGTTCTCTGAGGACTCTGTTCTCCTGAATTAATAGAGAAATACCCTGGACACCAGGTTATTAAAATATGTGTGTGTGTATATATATATGCACACCAGCAGTGTATTTTTATATATTTCTGTTTTTATGCCCTGATTCTGTCCAGGGCAGGACCTGTGTTTGGTTGCTGTGGAAAATAAAGCCCCTGAGCACCACTGCAGTGTGATGTTCACGCCTTCCCGCCATCCTCCAGTTAAACCAGATCAATGTGCCTTTTCCTCTTTGTCTGGGGGTGTTCTGGTCTGATTTTTCCATCTGTGAAGAATTCCTGCCTTAGCCACTGCTGAGAGGACGTTCAAGGCAGATAGTCTTGAGTACACATGATTTTAACTTGTTGGTTCTTTTCCCCTCACAGTCTCTCGCAGCAGATCAGCTCCTAAAACTGATGAGCACAGTGGATCCAAAGTAAGCATTAATGTTCACTAACACTTATATTGCACTGCATGGGATCTGGAGAATATCCATGGGAATTCAATGTCCAATCCTTGTTCTGCTGGAGGCAACTGGGAGCTTGGATGGGGTTTGGAGCACCCTGGTCTGGTAGAAGGTGTCCCTGCCCATGGCAGGGGGTGGAATGAGAATCACAGAATCAGCTGAGTTGGAAAAGACCTCCGAGATCATCAAGTCCAACCCTTGATCCAACACCGCCCTTGTTACCAGACCATGGCACTAAGTGCCACATCCAGTCTCATCTTAAAAACCTCCAGGGATGGAGAATCAACCACTTTCCTGGGCAGCCCATTCCAATGCCTGATTACCCTTTCTGTAAAGAATTTCTTCCTAATAGCTAACCTAAACCTCCCTTGGCACAGCTTAAGACCATGCCCTCTTATCTTACTGATAGTTACCTGGGAGGTTTAAACCTGAGATGAGGTTTAATGTCCCTCCCAACCCAAACCATTCCGGGATTCCCTGATTCTAAGAACAGGCTCAAACAGTGGACACCTGTATCCCTTGGATTGATCAATATGAATTTCTGGAACTGTTCCCCAGGTTGAACCATGTGGCTGCAGGTCTTGTCTCCCCGAGTCTGAAATCAGATACCTCCAGTAAAGAAATAGAGGAAGCAATGAAGAGGGTCCGAGAAGCACAGTCCTTAATCTCTGCTGCTATAGAGCCAGGTAATTCCAGACCCTAGGATGAGCCATTCCCTTCAGGATGCACTTTGATGTGGTACATGATAGAAGCTAATGGGCTGCAGAATACTGGCTTAGTGCTTCTGCTTTGTATTGGCTGCATTTATAGCTGGCAGGGTTTTAATTGACCTGCATTGGATGCTCCATGTGTCCTACAGGATGGGGCAGGGATTAAGCTATTATTTTTCCCAAAATTCACTTATTTGAAGATTGCAAAATGCCTAGTTACTGTTGCTGTCTCTGAGATTTCATGGGAACAGCAGTGGCCTCACCAGTTGACACCCCAGTGATGCTTGTTCTCAGGGATGGTTTCTTTTATCTCAGTTCCTAATCTGTGCAGGTTTGTAAATAATTCTCTTTTTTGTAGCTTTTTTGCAGCAGATTTTAGTTTAGAACAAGCTGCAGCAGTTCTCCCACAAATGTCAGAACTATCAAATCTGAGAGGCAGTAGTTTGAAACACTGAAAATACAATTTTGCAGCCTCCTGATGATTTTTGGGAAAAAACAGAACTCCTGTTCTTGTCTTATATCAGAAAAAAATGTGCTGGTTGCTTTTGCTTTTTTGTGGGAAATTCAAAACAATCATTTGAGAGGTTCTTTAGCCTCTCACAAAATGGCAGATTCTGGAATTTGCACAAGACTTTCCATAGGCCTGCAGCCACCAGCTTTTAACTGACTTTAAGTAAGTCTTTTTTAAATTTTTACTTCTTCAGTTTTGCATAAAACACTGTTATTTTATGTCAGATGTCTCTGTTGTGTTCATTCTTTCTATCCTCTTGTGAAGAAAATGGTAGATAAGCCCTAATTTCAGATGTCAAAATGAGATTTTCTTTATCTATTTATATGTATTACATGAAGCTCCTGGTCCTTTCCTTTATAAAATCCTTTTAAATACTAAAATAATGCTTGAGTTTTTTTCCTTTTTCAGACAAAAAAGACGAAAAAAGAAGACATTCAAGGTCGAGGTCACGCTCGAGGAGGAGGAGGACACCTTCTTCATCCAGACACAGGTAAAGGTATCTCATGGGCTTTAAAAAACCCTCCCAGAGCTGAAAGAATTCCTTCAAAAATACTTCTTGAAAGGGCCCCTTTCATTTGGTTTACTGTTCTGAAGATTTATTCTCATTTGAACATGACTTCCCAGAGTTCCTCTGCAATATGACTGATAATTCCGTACAGTGGGTTAGTAAGGGCTGATTGATTTGAGACTTTTCGTTGTGTTCTGTATAGTTCTCTGCATTTCTATCTGGTTGTGCCTCGCAGTGCTGTTACCACTGACCCCCTGATGGTGACAGGCCTCTCAGAATGTCCTGTGTCTGACCCTGTGTTGTGTGTTCCTGGCAGACGGTCCAGAAGCAGATCAAGGAGAAGGTCCCATTCCAAATCCAGAAGTAGGAGGCGATCCAAAAGCCCCAGGCGAAGGAGATCTCATTCCAGAGAGAGAAGCAGGAGGTCCAGGAGCACATCCAAAACCAGGTAATGGCTTCAGGAAATCTCTCCTGACCAGGAAATTACCCTGACCGGTGGGGTGCCTGTCTCTGTGTGCTGGGCACTGCTGAGGTGCCTCCAGTGCTGGGGCAGTTCTGGGCCCCTCAGTTCAGGAAGGATGGGGAATGGCTGGAGCATGTCCAGAGAAGGGAACAGAGCTGGGGAAGGGTCTGGAGCACCAGGAGCAGCTGAGGGAGCTGGGGAGGCTCAGGCTGGAGAAAAGGAGGCTCAGGGGGGACCTTCTTGCTCTCTGCAACTCCCTGACAGGAGGGTGGAGCCAGAGGGGGTCGGGCTCTGCTCCCAGGGAACAAGGGACAGCATGAGAGGAAACGGCTTCAAGCTGTGCCAGGAAAAGTTCAGGTTGGATATCAGGAGGAATTCCTTTCTGGAGAGGATGGTCAGGCATTGGAAGGGGCTGCCCCGGGAGGTGGTGGAGTCCCCATCCCTGGAGGTCCAAGGAACGACTGGATGTGGCACTCAGTGCTCTGGGCTGGGTGACAAGGTGGGGATTGGGCACAGGCTGGACTCAATGGTCTTGGAGGGCTTTTCCAACCTCAATGATTCTATGACTCTGTGATAGACTATTTGCTAGAAGTGAAATTACCGCATTTTGGTGCTTGATTTAAACAGAAAAAGAACCCAGGACAAAATGAAGCAGTGGCTCTTTTTAAAGTCGCAGTTTCTTGTAACATCACTCAACAGCTGCCTTGGAAAGCAGGAAATGTGAGCACCTAGACTTGCAGATTTGGGGCTGTTGGTACAGAGAAACTGTAAAAGTTGTGCTTTTATTTTTTCTTCAGATAATTCATTACCATTATTATAATGTGCCTGGCCTCAGAAATCCTGACCAGATTGTGCCACCCTGTCATTACCAGCACTGCCTTCTTTTCCCTATGTAGCAAATTAGAAACTGCTCCTTAAATGGTTTGAAAATGACTTAACCTGACAATCTCTCTTTTACTAAAAGGGATAAAAAGAAGGAAGAGAAAGAAAAGAAACGTTCTAAAACTCCCCCCAAAAGCTACAGCACAACCAGACGATCCAGAAGCACAAGCAGGTATGTGAACAGGGGATTTTCCTTGGTCTCTGTTTCCAGCATGATTTTGATCCACTTTAATATTAAATAGGAAGAATGTTCTTGCAGTTGAGCAACTGGTCTAGTGGAAGGTGCCCCTGCCCATGGCAGGGAGTGGAATGAGATGGGCTTTGAGGTCCTTCCCGAGCCAAGGTACTCCAGGATTCCATTGGGTGATGATTTCTTTGTGGATATATCTGGTACAGGCACAAAAGGACATGTACTCTCTGTCTATAAGATACTTTATTCTTCCCCTGAAACTGTTATTTTTGAGGTAAATGCTTTGGGCTTTAACAGTTTCTCCTTGCTTTGTATCAGAGTGTGACACTGAGGTCACTGCCGAACTCTTCCTGATTTAGGGAATAAATATATGCAAAAGGTTACTGTTTCAAAAAAACTCCAAGTTTAACTTGTAATTTCAGCAACTGTTTAGTACCCTTTGAACAGGGCTGGGTTTGGAGAAAGAGATGTATTTGTAGCTTTAATCATAAATTATTAAAAAGCTTCTGTGTCTTTGCTACAGAGAAAGACGGCGCAGGAGGAGCCGGAGTGGAACACGGTCACCCAAAAAGCCCAGATCTCCCAAACGGAAAATGTCCCGGTCCCCGTCTCCAAGAAGGTCAGGGAGTGACTAAAAAAATGAGTCTAGATGGAAAATTCCCAAAATGTCACCTACAGGGAAGATCCTGGGGTGTTGTGTTGAGGATGGAGTGTGTTTGGGTGGATCTCTGCTGCCTGTTACCCCTTTTAGCGTCATTTGATCAGCTCCAAGCTGGAGCTGCTCTGTTGTTGCCTGGGAATGCCAAGGGTGAGCTGTTCCTGGGGTGGTGGGAGTAGGAGATGCCAGAATTCCCATTCCTTTTGGCTCATTACAGTAGCAGTCACCTGATTTGGGGTGGCCCTGGGTGTTTGTGACCCTCTCCCAGAACGGGGAGCTCAAGGTGCTCCTTTGTAGAATGCTGGCACATTGCTGTTCTTACTCTGCAGGAGTTGAACTCCATGATTCTTGTGGGTCCCTTCCAACTCGGGATGTTCCATGTTCTTAGCCTTGGCTTTGTGGTTGTTGTGCTACATCTGGAGCTAAGAAATTGGGATTTTGGGGAGTCTTCTGAATGTGCTGGGTGTTCCCTAAATTGCTTGCTGCCATTTTCCCTTGGGTTTGTAGTGAACTGTGGGTGACACTCTGGATGTGTTCCAGTCCTGGGGTGAGGGTGAGTTTCATCCTTCTGCTGTGTCATCACAGGCATAAAAAGGAGAAGAAGAAGGATAAGGACAAGGAGAGGAGCAGAGACGAGAGGGAGCGGTCGACAAGCAAGAAAAAGAAAAGCAAAGACAAGGAGAAGGATCGAGACCGGAAATCCGAGAGCGACAAGGACGTGAAAGTATGTTTAATAAACCCCTGGAGCCCCCCCTGCCCACACACCCCGTGTGCCCCACCCCCAGCGCCCCAGGGCTGTGCTAACGTGTCCCTTTCCCTGGCAAAGCAGGTCACAAGGGACTACGATGAGGAGGAGCAGGGCTATGACAGCGAGAAGGACAAGAAAGAGGAGAAGAAACTGGCAGAGGCCTCTTCCCCAAAGGGGAAGGAGCCTGGGGCCGAGAAGGGCAGTGGGGACCTCGGCAGGGAATCCAAAGTGAACGGGGATGACCACCACGAGGAGGACATGGACATGAGCGACTGAGCCCCCCGGCCACCCGTGTGATTCTTTTATCTGTACTTGTTAATCCTCAATCTTAGATGTATCCAGCTCCGAGCTCTCCATGGTCTGTCCATCCTGTACTAACTCACACCCAAAGCTTGATAGAGGGACCTCCGTGCTCCGGGTGGGGGGGACTCGCTGGGGCCGAGGCTGCATGACCCCCCCACAGCATGGGCTGTGTGTGACCCCCCCTGTCCCCCTGTAGTGTCCCGGGAGCAGGGCAGGGATGCTCCGGCTGCCTGGGGAGTGTGGCACCAACGCACACCTGGGGCAGCCCCTGAGCCTGACACGTGACCTCACACCAGGGTCAGCCTTGGATCCCACCAGCTTTTTGTCCTCTTTGGTTTAGTTTTGGTTTTAAGCCACGTGCTGGGGTTGGTTTGGTTTGGTTTTTCTGGTGGGTTTTGTTGGCTTGGCCAGAGTTAAAATGCACTGACCTTCCTGAGGGCTCTCAGTCCGTTCAGTGCCATCTGGGGCGAGCTGGGATGGGTTTCCCTGCCCGGAAGGGAATGGAAGCCCTGCCCAGTGATGGAGGGTTGGGGGAAGTTCATCCCAGGTGTGGTTGCTCAGGAGCTCACCCGCTGCAGCAGGGAGTGCATTTTAAACTGACCTTGGTTTGCTTTAAAAGCAAGTCCACCTGATAATGTACTTTTTACTTGATCTCAAGTTGTATAAACTAATGAGTTTGTGTTCCTGTCCCACAGTGTCCCGTCCCTCCCGCACACAATGACCCCATGGAATTTGCAGAGTAGTTAGCCAAGCTGTTCCTTAGTTCCAGCAGCTCCAGAGCTTTTACTTTTGTGCAGGTAAAGAGACAAAAGTAGGCGACAGTCTGTGCCATGTCGATGTACAGTTTCGGAAATTGTTTTACAAAACTTTGATAATAAAACCCTGAAACTTAAACTCCTGTTCCTAGAAAACTTCTGGTATTTATTTCTACCACCCAACTTAACCTCTAAGGAATGAGGGGACTTTTATTCCATCTGCCTGTTTTAAAAGGACCTGACAAGTTAATCTCTTTAAAACCCGGTTGAATATGTTACACTGAAGAATGAGTTGTTCTGCTCTTGGGGGGAAATGGGTTTAAATAAGAATCTGGAGTTTTTATGGGACTGCAGAGAAGGACTTGGGGGTGCTGGTGGGGGAGAGGCTGGACATGACCCAGCCCAGAACCCCATGAGTGCTGTGCTGATCCCACAGTGTGGGCAGCAGAGGAGGGGGGAATTCTGCCCCTCTGCCCCTCAGGTGAGACCCCACCTGCAGAGCTGCCTCCAGCCCTGAGGAACAATAGCAGAAGGATGTGGAGCTGCTGGAGCAAGTCCAGAGGCCACGGAGATGCTCCAGGGCTGGAGCCCCTCTGCTCTGGAGACAGGCTGGGAGAGCTGGGGGTGTTCACCTGGGAAAGGCTCCAGGGAGACCTTAGAGCCCCTTCCACTGCCTAAAGGGGCTCCAAGAGAGCGGGAGAGAGACTTTGGACAAGGGCCTGGAGGGACAAGACAAGGGGGAATGGCTTCCCACTGCCAGAGGGCAGGGTTAGGTTTAGGGTAGGGAATTGTTGAAGTTTGAGATTCTATAAGTATTTTTAAAAAGGAAAGTATTTGCAAAACTGGCTTATATTTCCATGCAACCATGACCACTCACCTCTGAGGAAGGCAGGAAGCCATAAGTGCTTCGTGCAGATAATGGCAACCCAAAATTTAGTAGCCTCACATTCCAGCTGTCACTCAGATCACCAGTGGTTCCAGCAAACCCCCTAAAAAACCCCAAATAAACCCTCCTGAAACAAACAAAACAAAAAAGGGAAAAAGAAAAAAAAAAAAAAACCACAACACAAAAAAACCCAAACCAAAACCACCCAACTGTCTGGAAGGAATAAAACCTCTACAGACACTCCAGGTTTTGCTCTTCAAGTCAGAACAGAGCCCATGTTGTGATCAAAGTGAGCCCATTGCTGGATTTGGGAGGTAAAACCTCTGTACTTACTGAACACGGTTCAGCAAACTTGGGTCTCCTTCCCCCCCCTTTCCAGGCAGTGTTCCAAACTTGGATCCCGCAGCTCAAGGCGAGTGCCAGGAGCTGCTTTGTGTGTCCTTCCGCCCCAAAACTTAGGATTCACAGAGGGCCAAGCACAGGCTGTAATGAAAATGCAGGATTTTATTTAAAAAATGACCAAGAAAATGCCCTTGCAGGACTCAGCAGCATGAGCTTGTCCCTCCCCTCCAAACCTGCTCCGAGACGCAGCCACAGCAGAGCTGTCTCGGAGAGAGAAGCCTGGATTGCACAGGTGGAGCAGTTTCAGAATCAAACAGCATATTTTGGTCTTTATTCTAACAAATGATACAACCAAAACTGACTATTAGTGAAGAGAAGATAAAAACAGGGACCAGACGACAGTAAAACGCAAGAGAAGTGACTTGTTTCCATGGGAGTTACAAACTGTCAGGAAAATAAAGAGTGAAACTGCAGCATTACAGGAATTGGTTAATCCGGATTAAATAACGCAGTTCTCCTGGCGGGAATTACAACTCAGGAAGAGACATGAAAAGAACAGAGGGTGGGTGGGAATATCAACATAACATGGTGGGATTCCAGCACAAACACGCCCGGAGGTTTGTGTAACAATGGAATCGCAGGGAGGTGAGTGCAGTGGCTGGACAGCAGCTCCTGGAGGGGAAACCCAACGCCTTCCCTGTGCCACAGGCGAGAGCAGGAGGTTGGAAGACCAGTGGAACAGCTGGGTTCAGAAACAACCCATGGGATTCTCCCGCAACCATTTCTGAATTTGGTTTAGCAAAATTTGTGGTTGTCTTTTAGCAGCCAAGAAAACCTCAGGAAAGCTGTGGTGGGATGGGAGCACAGCCCTGGGCAGGCTCCAGGCAGTTTTTCCTCCCCACCTGCCCCTGCAGTGTCCAAGTGCAGCAGGACACGGCCATTCCCACCCAGCCCATGCCTGCTCCCTTTTCCATCCCACCTGGACACCCCCAGCTGGCAGGTCCAGAGGAGCGTTCCTGGTCCCCCAGCCGTTCCCAAGCCATGGAGTCTCTGCAGGGACGTCCCTCCTGCCCCTGGGATGAGCTTGAGCTGCCACACACAGACAAGACTCTGTACAAAGATGGTGGATCTGTACTCCACAGAGCACAGCACTGGTCCCAGGGACCAAACCTTCCCAACGCCTGGCCTGGCCTCGAGGAAAAGGGGAAAAGCCAAGCTGAAGCTCTGCTGGATCAATCCTGCCAGAAAAATGAATTTCCCAGAGACACAGGACCAGGAGATGGGAAGGGGGAGGGACCCCGTGCCCACCCCTGGCTGGGGCTAAGGTTCCCTCCAGATGGGGAACACCTCCCCAGGCACTGCTGGAGCTCCTGGGAGACATTCCCAGCCCACAAACACACCAAGTGTCCGTGCAATATAATCCTGGTGAGAAAAAACAGCTTCAGGGAAGAAAACATGGATATCAGGGTGGACAATCCCTAGGGAACCACAGCAGCACAGCCACAGCCTGTCCCCAGGAGGGGCTCAGCCCAATGTCCCTCTCACTGAGGATTCCTGCAATGTATCCATTGGGAAACTGTGCCCTAAGTGTGAGAACTCATCCCTAGGAATGTTTCAGACAGCAAACACATCCCAAGGGCCAGGGGAAAATGTACCAAGAGCAGCTCTGCGAGCCCCCAGAACTGGAGCTGGGGGGCCAATCCCATGGGAGTCCTGTCCCTCAGCTCCACAGGCAGGGAGGGGAGGGAGGAGGAGCAGCCAGGTGTGTTCACTGGAATAATACAGAACAAGGGCAGTCACCCAAAGCTGTTCCCACAATCCAACTCAGAACAAGCCTCAAGAGCAACTCACTGCAAAACCTTCCTGCAAACCCTACAGGTGTCTGGGGGAGCAGCTGTGTCCTCAGGGGGTTCAATCCCCCAAACCTGCAGTCAGAGGCCACGGGAAGCATAGGAAACACTTCCAGGACCCACTGCTGGCTTTGAGTAGAGACCTCATGGCCACAGTCACCACTAGGGAATGTTCCAGAGGCAGATGGAGCCACAGGACCCTCAGTCCCACATGAGGCCACATGAACCCCTTTTTCTGTTCTTCTCCCAGCCCAACCCCCATCCCTGGCAGTGGCTGCAGTGCCCAAGACCCACAGCCCCAGTGATGCTCCTTCCATGTAGCCATGGAAGAATTTGGGATAACTAGAAATGCAAAGTAACACAAACCTGTGGATCCCTCCCTGTAATGCTGAGGAAAGGGATTTCTGACATTCACCTTCAGGGAAACCTCCTGCCTTGTGCTGGAATTCCCAGGAAACTGGATACTCCTGTGTGGCACCTGCTTCAGCTCCTGGCACAGGTCCGGCAGCTCCACAAAATGTTCCGTCCTGAACGGGCACTGGGAATGGCCAGGGCAGCCAGGCCCCACCAACACCCATCCCAGGATCCTGGCTGGCCCCGAGGAGCAGCAGGAGGTGGATGCCAGATCATCCCAGAGGTGTGAAACACTTCAGGAATTTGTCATTACTTGGGAGATCAAGTTCCGTTATTCCCAGTGGATGTTGCACACCTGCCCCAACACAGTACTGCAGGAGCCATGCCCCTTTGCTTGTTTCCCTACAGTTCTATTTGGGATTTGATTTGAATTAACAACTCCAGTGTATCGATCCCAGGCTGCAAAGCTGCACTTCTCCCCTGCCCCAGTGCTCCCTGTTCCCTGCAGGTTTATAGCACAGCTGGGAGAGGATCAACCCCACCCTCCCGCTCCAGTGCACATGGATTTTGCAGACAATGATTCCCTGGGACTCCTCCTTGTTCTCCCCCAGAGCAGCCTCTTTGGGATGGATCAGATTCCAGCAGTTTGGAATCACAGGTGTACCTGACACCTTGCCTTGTGCTGAGCCCGTCCCTTGATCCCTCGTGGGCAGCACAGCTGTTCCCTCCACTAAGCATCGATGATCCTCTTCATTATAAACTTTGATCCTTAACTCTATGGAATTCCAGAAAAAGTTTTGCCTACAGTGCACAAAGAATATAATTTGGAAAATATTTACATTTTTGTACAATGACACCACAGCACTTGAATCTAAGTTTCTTCATACAAACAAATAGCACCATCAGCCTTTTGCACAAATCCTGCCCAACAAACCCCAAGAAGCTGGATTATTGTCAGATGAGGAGACTGGAACCACTGGGAATGGGAATAAGCTTGAGGAGCTGGAGTACTGAAACACCCATGATGAGGGTTGGACAAGATGAGCTTTAAGATCCCTCCCAACCCAAACCAGTCTGGGAATCTCTGTGATTAAAACATGAAGAGGCAGAAAATTAATGTGGAAATGCCCCAAACCAAAGCTCTCCATGAGCACCACAATAACCCCACTGCAGGGAACCTCCTCCTGCAGGAAGGTTTAATGCCTGAGCTTGTCCTGGTGCCTCTGTGCATCCCAGGTTTCCAGGGGCTGCTGAGAGCACACCCAAGCTGACCTGGTGGTGCTCGGCCATTCTGGGGCAACTCTCCCAAGTGAAGGGTAAAATAAGGATTAAAAGGTGCCATTCCTGGCCAGCCAAGTCCAGAGTGCTCCCACACCCTCAGGGACCCCCCCGCCAGAAAGCACAGCAGTGAGAGAAGGGATAGCTGGGAGCAGGAACGAAGGGATCAGACAGGGATAGCACCAGGCTGGGCCTCCCTCCCTGTAGGGCACAGCTGGCTCTGCCCTGGATTGCAGGAAATCCAAGTGTCCAGTGGTGCCCTTTGGTTCATTCATCTACAGCCAAGGCATTCCTTGAGGATACCTCCTGCAACATTCCATGGCTGAGCTGTGCAGCTCAGGGAGCAGGGCTGGGAAGGGCTCCCGGGATGGACAGGTGGGTCAGGGCTCACATCCAGCCACGGCCCAGCTCCGGTGCTGACGGTCCAGCAGGGCCTTGCGTGTCAC